ACACTAAACGCTAAACCCTAGACCCCAAACCCTAAACCCTAAAACATAAACCCTAAACCCTAAACCCTAAACCATATCAAACGGTTGAACTCCGAGTCTGGCGTTGGGGCTCGAGGGTTTGGGTTGAAGGAGGCTTGGTGCTGGGGCTCAAGCCCGAAACTTAAGACTCTACCCATACCGTAAGAACCCAAAACCCACTTTTTTGTAGGTTCTTATTATAAACCCTAATATGGGATTTATAAGGACCCTACAAAAAAGCAGGGTTTGGGTTCTTAAGGTAGGCCCTAAAGTAGTTCCTTTTTGGGGTTACCTTGTAGGATTCCATATATGAACCCCAAAAAGGAACTACTGTAGGGCCTATGGGTATACCACCTATCTAAATCCTGCTCCTACACTTAATATAGGGAGCCTTAATAATTAGCCTAGGGTTTGGGGGATATATTATACTATACTGATAATAAGGAGCCCCCCCAAACCCTATTCTAAATATTAAGGCCCCTCACATAACACAAACACACGGACCTCTTCTCTCTCCATGCAACTTCTCCCTCCACGGCGCCTGCGCGATCCCCTGGATCACCATCAAGATGTTGCCTTGGTTAAAGGAAACTACAGGTGGGGAGTTTAGGGTATATAGGGCTTCTATAAGGTATATAGACCTTCTATAAGGCTCCTATATGGGGTAAATGCCCACCTGAAAATGTCCTAGACTTGGCTCCCCCAGCCGCCACATACCCGACAGATTCGTGCAGGGGAGCCCCCTTCAATCACAAGCCATCACTCGGCATACCCTAAAATGCTTCCCGAACCCGCATTCAATCCTAAGCCTCAGCCCTGAAGACTAGAACTATATAAACCAACACAGGGACTTCGAAGGGGAGGCTTGATGCACGTCCGACTGCATGCTTGCAGGCTAAGCTGCTGCCGAATGCATAGAACCAGCCGTCTTGACCGATTCCCCATGCCTTGGCAGATCAAGCCCTTAAACCAAAAACCCAAATTTAAACCCCAAACCCTAAACCCCACACCCTAAAACCTAAACCCATCGCTCCCTGCTTTCGGTGCCGAACAAAGGGTCACACAAAATGATCACCAAAGCCGTACACAACCGTGGTTTTAGGGTTTAGGGTTCACGGGGGACTTGCGAAGGTAGTGTTGATGGGTGCGATAAGCCCATGAGCTCTGATGGGTTGCAAACGAATCAGGACACAGGACAGCGAGGTCATGATGCGCAAGCAGGATTATGTACGCCAAGCGTCGTTGTAGATGACCATCAGCTGAAAGCAGTTGTTTAAGGCGAGTATCCTGAGCTATGACATGTGGCTTTCAAGACCTAGCTGGGTCCCGGGCTAGACTGCAGCCCAGGCGAGGAGTTTTGGAACAGTCCGAGGGTGCCCAGCAAAGACCTGCAGCCCTGAAGCCCTAACAAGCTCTCGCCAGGAAAGGCCGTAAATTCTGAATGCATTCCTTTCATACATCAGCTTCATGGGGTTGTCACACTTGGATACTATACAGAAATCAGAACGGTGCTTAGCACCAGCTTTCGCCGCCAGCAAATGCATTCTAAGTGGAGTTCCTGAGGCACCCCTGCTCACGTGCCGGACATCGCAACAATCGCAGGAAACTCATCGAAGCCATACGTGGCATGTGGGAGTTTCCGAAAATACGGGGTACCTTATTTTGGGGTTATAAGGATCCTACTATTTAGGGCACTATATTAGGGTCCCCTATTTTCGGGAACCCCCATGTATGGTAACGACATGTGGCTTCTCAAATATCTTAACATGGCGTTGCCCCACCTCCGTTGGCGCTTGACTCAGGCCGTTAAGATAGGAAGAACCCTTTCAGGCTCAGTAAGTAAACTCGGTTGGCTCTTCAAAACCTGCGGAACACATCCTGCAAAAGGCCCTCTTAAGCCCAACACGGGGAAGCAGAAAATATCTCAAAGGCCTACCTGGTAAAGTGAACAACTCTTAATAAATGTGCTGGCCGCATTTGATGGGAGGGGGTCTTTAAGCTTTCTAATGCTGCTTAAGGCCTTTTGGTCGCAAACTTTTGAACAAACTCTTTAATGATCATCCGCCTGATTTTCTTTCTACAGCACCGCAGACCCTCCAGACCCCTCGGACTCCCCAACACCCTTCTAAGTTACAGCGAATCCCAGAAAGTTGGAACATGGGTTTAGGAGGATCAGTGCCCGGATCCCGTCTACTTGAGGATCATAATGTTCCAACTTTCTGGCGTCTACTATATGGGACTTTCCGAAAATTAGGGGTACCTTATTTTGGGGTCCTTATAATAAGGATCCTATTATTTAGGGTACTATATTAGGGTCCCCTATTTTCGGAAACTCCTATATAGTCAAGCCCCACCCAGACCCCAAGCCGACCCACGCCCCAAAAATTTACCGAACCAAGGTCAAGGGGGTCAAGGGTGACATATCAAAAGAATGGTCGAGGGGAGGCGGGCCTTCCGACTACAGCTGCCACAAAATGAAGATTAACTAACGGTTTAGGGTTTAGGGTTTAGGGTTTAGGGTTTAGGGTTTAGGGTTTAGGGTTAATTAACTACGTGACATGAATGATCATTCAGCAGGGCCTTCGCGGCACGGGGCTCAAGAGTGCCTGTGCGATCAAGTGTCATCGCCGTCCAGACAAAGGTCATGCGCCAGTTGCGCGTCATGAAATACCGCCGGAAGAGGAAAACGCCTGTCAAGGAGTCGAAAACATAGAGTTATCCTTCGTATATTGGCTTTTGACCAGGCAGGTCTTCAAAGGGACCCAATTCATAATTCAAGCTGCCGCCATCTAGCCGTCAAGTTGCTATGCTTTTACCTCGGGCGGCTACAGACCCTTTAGAGGATCTAACTCTTTTGACGGTACCACACCTCCTCTTTGGCCCGAAACACAACATGACAGCACCTGGTGCTACGAGTGCGCTGATCTTCCCTAGACGACGAATGTGGGGGTTTCACCCTAATATAGTACCCTACATAATAGGATCCCTATTATAAGCACCCCAAAATAAGGTACCCTAATTTTCTGAAACTCTGAAACTCCCATGTTCGTACTGATTCGATGTATTGATGTGGCCGTGTGTGTCCAGTGTTTCTGCACTTTGTCCTGAGCTCAGCCTAAACCTTAAACCCTAAAACCCTAAAGACCTAAAACCCTAAACCCTAAACCCTTGTGACTCGAATCGGAGATGTAGGATTAAGGTTTAGGCTGCGATCGACAAGAAACCGAAGCCGTTACCACTAAACAAACTCTAACGACAAGCTTACACCCTCCCGAGACACCCTAATTTGCCCATAGTGATGGCCTAACTAACCTGTTGACAAGCATCATGAGTCACTGTCAATGTCAAAGTAGAACCTCCTTGGTTTGGCGGTTTAGAGGGCAAATGAACGCATGCGAACCGCACCAGCCCCGAAAGGGATTGCAAGCCCGACAGAGCCACATATCCACAGACCGAGCACACAAGCACACACTGTCAGCTGCACCAAGCGTCATACGATCTTGAAAATGTTTGGACCCCAAGGCAATGTTAGACAGTGCGGCGCTCCTGGCTTCCAATTTTGATATCGCCTTCTGTGCGTGCACACAATGTCTTGTCATAGCCTAGCAAGACGTTTATCTGACAGTCCACTGCACCATGGTGCCTGGGGCGAAACTTGGCAGAATATAATAGGCTGGGCAGCACCCTCTTGCCAGGTCGCCGCGTTCACGCCAAGACTGTCAGTAGTGCAGGCTGCAGTACTTTGCTCAGTAAGCAATGCAGCAATCACTGCAAAAGCCATGGTCGCACTCACTTCGTGATCCCTAAACCCTTAACCCTAAACCCCTAAACCCTAAACCCTGAACCCAAAGCCCTAAACCCTAGACCCTAAACCCTTAACCCTTAACCCCTAAACCCCTAAACCCTGGGCTTTGCACCAGGATCCAGCGCAGGGTCAGGAGCTCGCCATGAACAGTTGCCACTTGGAGGTTCATGGGTAGTCATAAACGGGGGTATAAGTAGGGTTTAGGGTTTAGGATTTAGGGTTGAGGGTTTAGGTTTTTTTTTACAGTGCAACGGCCTTTCACACTGAGGGTTTAGGGTTTAGGGTTTGGGGACTATAGTTATAACCCCTATTAGGGGACTTATAACCCCACTTATAACTACCCATGAACCTCCAAGTAGGGTTTAGGGTTGTAGGTTTTAGGGTTGTCGGGTTTTAGGGCTTCAGGGTTTTAGGGTTTAGGGTTTAGAGA